CCTGAAGTACTCTTTGCATCATCCTCGGAACCGCCCCAATCACTGTCGGAATACCCACAAAGCTTCACAGGTTGACTCTTCTGAAACTTGACTCCATAGGTGATGGTTCCTTTGATGTATCGCACAACTCTTTTGGCTGCCTGCAAATGTACTTCACTAGGACAATGCATGAATCTTGATAAAACACTTACAGCATACAATATATCAGGTCTTGTTGCTGTAAGATACATTAAACACCCAATGAAACTTCTGAAGTATGTCTCATCCACCTTTTCGGCTCCATCATCTTTACTTAGTTTCTCTTTTTGGTTCATGGGAGTACTAATCTCTTTGCAATTGTCCATTTTGAATTTCTTGAGAATTTCCTTTGCGTACTTTTTCTGGCAAACGAAAAACTCATCTTTTCCTTGTGTAATCTCCATTCCAAGGAAATATGTCATAAGACCAAGATCAGACATTTCAAAAGCTGGCATCATAGCTTGCTTGAACTCCTCAATTAGCTTTTCACTGCTCCCTGTAATCAAAAGGTCATCCACATAAAGAGAAACAACAAGAATCTCACTGCCATTATGTTTAACATACAATGTGAATTCTGAAAGACTCTTTTCAAAATCGAGACCGAGAAAATAATCATCTATTCGACTATACCAAGCTCTTGGTGCTTGTTTTAAGCCATAAAGAGCTTTATGTAGTCGATAGACTTTATCTTCCTTTCCATCTATAACAAATCCTTCAGGTTGCTCAACATAAATTTCTTCTTCAAGAATGCCATTAAGAAATGTTGATTTGACATCTATTTGATGCACTTTCCAGCCACGTTGTGCAGAAACAGTTATAAGCAATCTGATTGTGTCGAGCCTAGCAACAGGAGCAAAAGTGTCAGAATAATCTACACCAAAAATCTGTGCATAACCCTTAACTACAAGCCTTGCTTTATGCTTGTTGATTGAACCATCAGCATTTAGCTTGGTTCGGAACACCCACTTTACCCCAATTACTTTTCTGCCTTGAGGTTTGTCAACAAGTTGTCATGTATCATTTTTTTCGATCATAAACAACTCCTCCTCCATTGCATTTCTCCAATTGGGGTCTTTTAGAGCATCTTTAGGGTTAGCAGGTTCACGAATCGCAACATTGCATCTCTCATATATATCAGAGAGCAATCGAGTTCCCCGAACTGGTGGATCATCGTCCCTTTCATTTAACCACGAGCTTGTTTTTTGGATGGAATTCCTTGAGTCATCCCAATCCCATTCTTCATTCTCCATGAAGTGGACATCTCTGCTGATAATTATCTTCTCACCTTCAGGTTGAAAGATTTTGTACGCTTTTGAAACATTACTGTAGCCAATAAAAATGCCCGGGGCAGCCTTCTTATCTAGTTTATCCCGTTTGACCTGAGGTACATAGGTAAAACAAAGACAACCAAACACTTTAAGAAAATGCAGTGGAGGCTTGTATCCATACCATGCTTCAAAAGGAGTTTGATCTTTCACAGCTTTTGAGGGAAGTCGATTTTGTAGGAACATAGTTGTACTTGCTGCCTCTGCCCAAAACATCTTTGGCAAATTCTTTTCGTGCAACATACATCTTGCCATCTCCATGATATATCTGTTTCTTCTCTCACTAACTCCATTTTGTTCTGGAGTATAAGGAGCAGTAAGTTGACGTTCAATCTCTGCTTCTTCACAAAATAGATCAAACTGATGAGAATTGTACTCCTTGCCATTGTCAGATCGTAAAATCTGAATTTTGCAGCAACTTTCATTTTCCAACTTCGCTTTCAACTTCGAAAAAATGATCTTGACCTCCGATTTATACTTTAAAAAATAAATCCTGCATCTTCAGGTCAGATCATTAATAAAAATAACATAATAAAGACTACCTTTAAGTGAAGGAGTCCTTTGGGGCCCTCCAATATCGGTGTGAACCAGCTGCAACTTTCTTGTTGCTCTCCAAGTTGCCTTTGGGAATGGAAGTCTACTTTGTTTTCCAAATTGACAAGCCCGACAATTTTTAGAACTCGCTCCCAGTTTAGAAAGGTTCTCGACTATCACCAATTCTTGCATTTTGAGAAGCCCTTGATAATGATAGTGTCCGAGTCTCTTATGCCATAACTCGGAAGCATTTTCTCTTGCCGAATACACCACTTGTTCTTCCTCCAATGGATTTAATGAGAAACTTCTGCCTCTCATTTTGACTTTAAACAAGTCATGTCCTGAGGCTTCCTTGATCAAGCAATGATTATTTTTGAAATACAATTTGAAACCTTTTTCTAACAATTGACCAACACTTAACAAGTTCTGATCTAAATCTGGTACATAAAGAACATCGGAAATTGCTTTAGTACCTGATTGTGTTTCAATTGTAATAGTTCCCATTCCTTTTACCGGAATAGAACCGCCATGACCTATTCTGACTTTTGTAACTCCAGTAGGCTTCAAGTCTTTAAAGATCTCTTTGTCATGAGTCATATGGTTTGTGCATCCGCTATCAATCAGCCAAGACTCAGTTGAAACATTGCTTACAAAACACGATGCCACAAAGAGTTGATCCTCTTCCTGTTCATTAACAACCTGGGCATCTGCGTCTTGCTACTGTAATTTACTCTTGCAAATAATTGCTTCATGCCCGAGTTGGTTGGACTTACTGCATTTAGCATCAGGCCTTTTCCAACACTTATACGGCGCATGACCATTCTTTCCACAATGCTTACAAGGAGGATAGTTTCCTTTAAAGCTACCTGTTTTGCTTTTGTTGTTGTAACGAGCTGCTCCTTCTCCATTTTTTGGCTGGTTCTTCTTATTGTTTTTCTTTTTGTATCTTCCACTCTCTTCATGTTTGGCCGCCAATGCTCCCTCTCT